TATCATTTACATGATATAAAATTCCACAAGGTGAAAAAAGTCAAATGAAGCAAGAAAATCTCAACTGGACTCAAACTCAAAGACAAGTAAATACATTTTATTACTGTATTTTATTACTTCACTTTTTACTGCTTTACCTCAGATCATGTGCCTTTGTTTCAGTCAATAGATTAAAACATATTTATGTGACAATGAAACAAGAATAAATTAAAGTAGATCACCTTTCAAGTAGATCAAGATGGCGGCGCGCATGGTTGCAGCGGCTTACAGCTCTCCATCTCAGTTTTTAATCTCATTGTACATGTGTATAGTTACAATAAAGGCATTCTATTCTATTCTTTCACCGATTGCAAATACAATTGTGCTTCAATTGATTGTGATGAATTTCTTACCTTTTGACACATTACGTTAATGTCGTCTCGCAGGTTCTTATCGATCCTGGTGGAGCCTCCTGCCATGGTCCTGCTAGATTGCCATTGCCAATACTGTTGTTGCTGTACACCTGTATGTCTGTCTGTCTGTCTCTCTCTCTCTCTCTCTCTTTCTCTCTCTCTCTCTCTCTCTCTCTCTCACCCCAACTGGTCGAGACAGACGACCACCCACCTAGAGCCGGAGGATCTGTCCTAGGTTTCTGCCTTTTAACAGGCAGTTTTTCCTTGCCCTTGTCTCCAAGGTCTTGCTCATGGTGGTACTGTTGGGTCTCTGTAATTAATGTTATAAAGAGTTCGGTCTAGACCTGCTCTATTTGAAAAGTGTCCTGAGATAACTTCTGTTATGAATTGGCACTATACAAATAAAATTGAATTGAATTGAATTGAATTGAATTGAATTGAATTGAATTAACGGGACAAATTATAACTGTTGACACGAGTAAGCCAAATGATTTCTCGTTACTCAAGCTGAACATATTTGTTGGTTCAAATACACTTTCCAAAAGAACTTAAAAGTAGATTTTTACATATGTTGCGTATTCTGGACATGTTGAGGCCATACATTATAGGGTTTAAGAGTGGTTGGCATGCAAGGAAATACAACAACAGAGCTTAGTTTAAACTTTTTTCTTAACATCAGATAAAGCACGAGGAAGGAAAGAGAGAAAGAATGATACAATAGTAATACATATTTAAAAATCAATTACCATCAGATAGATATATTGATGCATAGTATGGCATTTCATTATGATAGTACAAATATTTGAAAAAGTAAACATATACAACTTGAGTAAATGATAAACACTCAACAAACACATTTAGTGTTTGCATATATAGCTTGACTGAACCAGTATATATTGTAACTATTTAACATGTGTTTGATAAGTACTGTATGTATTTTAAGTTCACTTATATCTGTTGTAATTGATCTTTCCTTGTAGGTTCAAGTGGAAGCACAGAGTTTCCTCGAGCTTCAAAGACATCTCGGTAAGATGTATCCTAAAATAATGTTGATGGTTGAATGTAGTTTTATTTTATTATTATAGGATGTAGTTTGTGGTCTGGTGAACTATATTGCGTTATACACAGAGGTGTCTATTTAGCATGGCCTCTGATATTTATGGGATGGACAAAATAATAGAAACACCTCAGTATAGTGTGATACAATTCAACAGCAGCACAGTCACAGGGAAAAACTGCTAGCTTTGCTGCAATGGATGCATTATGTTTTCCTCTTAAAACACAAGTTGATGTGTTTGTATGTCTGCAGGTGTTGCTGAGTTCCATCGCATTACAAATGTGAAGCTACGTAATCAGTTCTACTGTGAGGTTGACAGATACACACCTCAACTGATTGCCCTGTACAGAGAGACGGACAGGCAAGACAGCAGAGGCACTCCGAGAGAGCTTCAGGATTTATGACCGCCATGTGAGTTTAAGATTAACTTTGCTGTGAGCACGATGATGGTTATTCATGATGATTTTATGATTATGTAAGTTGAACTGGCTTGATGTGCTGGTAAATATTTCTATAATGATTATTATGTTTTGGTTATCAATCTAGGAACAACATGATGTAAACATGAGATGCAGTCTGGTCCTTCGTGCCCTCCCGGTGTACCTAAGAGAGGAAGACTCTGAGTTCTTCAAGACCTGGAATGTAAGTATTTAGTGTACTCATAGAACTGTCAATATCAATGACATGTACCATGAAATATAGTATGGCAAACTAACTTTAACACCTCTTTTCAGGTTCAAATGGATGGATAGGTTGTTTTCTTTTCTCAGTATAATGCTAAAATGTGGTATGTACAATGAAAGAGTGATTGGGGACCTCCTCTCCAAATTAGAGAGAAATCCAAAGTTCTCGTTTCATGCAAATCTCTTTATGTAAGTGTATTTGAATCCAATATGAATCTTCAGCTGTCTGAGTTAGAATTATGTTGACATTGTTAATGATACATGATTTTAAACCTTTTTACTGGAATTCTCCTCGTCATTGGATTGTTTGTATTTTGCAGAGAGAAGATGAGCCACATATTGCTGACACTCCTGTGGGTCTCCTTACTGTGGTCACTGACAACACAACCCATTTCAGCCCCAAGAGCATTTCTGTTGTGAGTGATCTCCCTAGGTTGACTGATGTTAAGTTTTTAGGTAACTGTTCAGGAATCAGTGTTCTTAACTCCTGCTGTTAAAATAAATCAGGCTTTGACATTTTGTTTTATTTTCTCATCTTAATGGCATTACTAGAGATTTGGGCTACAACTAATAGTTTTTATGTTTGTTTGGTCTATATAATGTTGGGAAATGAAAATGCTTATTACATTTTTCTAAAGCCCTAAGTGCCTTACCAGTTTGATGTTTGAAATAAGTTTCAGTGTCACATAAGTTGATGTACATTGTGACGTTGTTACATAGATCAAATACATTGATACGACAGATGTTTCAAGTTTGTTTTATAATAAAAAAAAACTTGAATTGTAATAATGGAGTTTTATTTGTATTTGTGTGTGTTAGAGTTTGTACATTTTAAGTTGACTAGTAGTTTGTAGACTTCAATGTGTTTGAGTTTAATACAGTAGTTGAAGAATATTGAAAATTTTGAGTGTATTTCCCACATTATGAGAACATTTTGAGTGAATTACTCCCTAATTATAAGTTGAGGAATATCAATATTTATAAGATAACATTGAGATCATTTAAGGCAACTGTAAATGTAATTTTTATTTTATGTAAACTTAAAACATTTAAAAATATCACTAAAATATTTTTGTGTAATCTGTAAAAATAATTTTTGAGTTCTGTGAACTTATTAGGGTTTTCAGTGTTCTGACAAAACCCATTTGTAAAGACAAAGTCCTAAAGTGACATTCCAGAATTAAAACTTTACCATAAACTGAGTTTATTCTCAGTCAATGAAAACCCTGCATATGCTGCTGGTGTTGGGGAGTGTTGGACCACCAACTGTTAAAGAGTTCGGTCTAGACCTGCTCTATTTGAAAAGTGTCCTGAGATAACTTCTGTTATGAATTGGCGCTATACAAATAAAATTGAATTGAATTGAATCTACCAAATCCCTCAGATCAAAGGTCATTTCAGCCTGTCAACATTTGTCCCTAAGTCAGAGTAGACCTCAGCACTGGTTTCACTGGTCCACTGAGGGCTGAGGACTATAATGACCTCCCCTCAGACCGCTTTGTGACAACACACCTCAGGATGGACAGGTACTGAATAACATTTATGAAATTAGTGGCATTAGTGGCATGATTCCTAACAGAGCAAACGAAAAGCTTACGTTCCACTTTCCAACCGCTCTTCAACCCTCTGATGTATGGACTGAAAATGTCTCAAATCTGTATTTTATGTTAAGTATGTTATATTGGAATGTGTTAATCACCTATCAGATGTATTTAGCTTTACTGACACCCCAAATTCATTCAAATGGGCCAGTTCCGCCGACATAACTGTGAGTGAGTCAGAAGAAAATTGTCCTTTGTCTCTTAAGATTGAAAATTGCTTTAACCTTCCTATCTTCACTCTGTATCACAAACCTTGTAAACATATTTTTACCGCAAGGAATATAATGAAGCACAATACAACCTTGGGATGTGCACGATTAGTTGACTACTCATTGATTAAACATTATTAATATCACTAGTGAACAGCAGAAATACTGTTAGTTTAGTTTAACACTACTGTGTTAAACTAATTATTATATATATATATATATTATATTTTATTAATAAACAACACTGATCTTTCCGCAGCCACTAGTCAGGGCCCCAGCAGGCGGCAAAAAAATTTGTACGTGGTTTTAGGCTCCAAAGTGATGATAGGCTATTATTTGCACATTTTAGAGGAAGATTTCATTATTGCAAATCCAGGTATGATGTTCATATGATTCCAGGACTAAGTACTGCATAAACTGTTTGATAGTAGAAATTGTAGCAGGGTATATTTAGATCTTAGTGTATATAATTCATATAACAGCCTTATTCTGTTAATTTGCAAAGTGTTAGTCACCTTGACGATTGAATAAAGTACTTTAACCCTAATATTTCTTTCAAATGTGTTTCTTTTGTTTTCACCCTTTAGTTGAAGGTCACGTGTTGTCGTCCCCTCCCCTGTCTTACCTCTAGCTCCTCCTGTCTAATAAATGCAATAAAAGGCCCCAAAATTGGACTGTTTGACAAAACAAAACATTTAAAAAATTTTAATTTTGTAAAAACTGTCCATGCACAATTACTTACATCAAAATAAAATGAAGAAAATCTTAGCACTTATAATGCGCTCTTCACTGTTTGTATCTAGCAAACCCCTGTGGAAGTTGACCGTACTTATTGTAAGACACTTTGAAACAAAAAAAACACACAATAGACCATGTCTCTCTCATCAAGTAAAATAAATATAGCAGCAAAATGACAAAAGCAACAATATCACCTGTCACAAAGTGCAAAGAGATACATATTTGCATAATTTGTTTTGGAGACCAAAATTAACCCAAACTCGTCTTGTACAACTTGGATGTTTCATTTTCTTCCTTTCCACTCAAAAATTAAACTAGAGACATCATTTGGTTGACACTGGTGCAGTAAGAAGAGTGATTTATTTATTGCTTATTTATGTATGTAAAACTAAACTAATCTATGAGATGACCTACACTTCACACAACAAACGTTTACATACGTTACGGATTTTGGACATTTTCAGTCCATATAGTACTGGGGTAAAGAGAGGCTGGCATGTGAGAAAGTACAATGATAATAAAATGTCCAACATATTGGGTACACTGCTCATATCAAATCTGCTCTGTAATATTTGAAAACAACAACCAAAAGAAAAGTTAAGCAGAGAAGCAAGGTGAGGTGTGCAAGTACTGACAGCTTTTTGTCTAGTCTGTTTGGAACCAGAAAAACAAACCTTGAGAATCTTCATGTAAGTGTAAAGAATTAAAGTTAGAGGAATAATGATTGAGATAACAGTGCAAATGAGTCCATAAATGTTATGAAGTCTGGTGTCAGAACATGCCAGTTTAACAACAGAGTAGTTTCCACAGTAAACTTTGTCAATGATGTTCCCACACAGCTGTAAAGGTGCACTCAAAGATACCAAAATAACAATAGTAAGAAAAGGGAATAACCATGTTACACCAATAAGGATGGCAACCTTTGCAGATGTCATACGTGTGTTATATTGTAGAGGATAACAGATAGCAAGATATCTGTCATAAGACATGATGGCTAAATTTAAAAATTCTACACTTCCATAGGAATACACAGAGAAAATCTGCAGGAAACAAAAGGGAACAGAAACAGTGTGAATGTCAGAGAGAATCTGAACCAGAAGCATTGGAAACAACCCTGTACTACCATACAGTTCATTTACAAACAGGCTGCACAGAAATATGTACATAGGTTCATGTAAGCTTCTGTTCATACAGATAATCACAATGAGCAAAAGATTGGCACTGATAATTAATATATACAAAGACATAATAATCACAAAATATAAATATTTGAAAACCCCAGTGTCAAAGTAGGCACTTAGTGTGAAATATGAAACCTGTGTAGTGTTTATCATCATCTTCCTGGTTCATAAAACAACACTTTAAAGAAGCTGAGGCATCAAACACACAGTATTTAAACAACAGGAAAGAAATTAAATCGCATGAAAACAATTTTTAAATATGAATAAGATTTATCATTCCCTAATTGTACTGTATAATACTCAAGTAAGACATTGTGTGAATCTGAATCTGAACATTCAGTCCCTCCTAATGAGCTGAAACTCTGCTTCTGCTTCTTTTAACCTTTTGTGTTGGAGTGTTGGAGAAAGAGCAGTCTGACCTCATTATCAAGGACCTACTGGTTGTTACTGATTTCCAGTTGGTTCCTGAAAAAAGAGTAAACGTTTGTTTGGAAGAAGGTGAGACGAGGGCACACTGAAAATAAATATTAAGCTATGGAAGCTTACTTTCCACTGATACTATGGTCAGGAGTAGCCAGTCCAGGTACTGTTTATATACTTTTGAAAGACTTAATCTTTACTTAATATTATATTTGCACTTTATCAACCTAATATTTACCTTCTTTTTCTCTTTATTGCCATATGTTCATTTTCTTTGAGTCACTGCAGGCGGGGCTGCCTCTGCTCGGAGCAGAGACAGCGGTAGCGAGCCGAAAAGCCCGTGAACAAAAAGCCAATAAGAGTAATTAATTAATGTAATCCACACAAAAGATGTATAGACGACGGAAATAAACACAACAGAATAGACAGTCATTCACATAACTCAGGCAAACGCTTGCCACAGCACCACACACTGGAGAAACTCCCTGCAGACAGCGACAAGACCAAAACAATTGCAGTTTGTTATTTTTACATTTAACATCATCTTAATGTAATGCAGAGCTATTCAAGGGTCAAGCATATCCATTGGATTGATATTAATAACTTTAATGTACTTAAAGTGGGAATCTGTATTATCTAAAAACAATATCAGATTTGGATTTGGTATCGGCAGATACTTAATATTAAATGACTCAGATCGGATCGGGGGCTACAGAAACTAGATTGGGACCTCCCTAATTTACATACATTATAATGCCATTCTTTCACTTTTATTTTGTTAACTAAATCTTTTGTTAGGTTATCTGTTGCCTTCTCCTCCTTTTTCATCTGAGTAGGGCTGTGACAAAGTGGGGGCTCGTCCAGGATCTGAACCTGGGACCTCTCGCTGTCAGCTATTTTTCTGAAAGTTTAAGTCTTATATTCCAATAAAAAGAATTCAGGCTTAAGGCATTTCCACACTAGCTTAATTTTTCAGATATGAAAGCTTATGGTTTACTTTTACTATGGTCAGGACTAGCCGGTACTGTCTAAAAATTCAAATTTTTAAAACACTTAATATTTACTTAATATTGCTTTTGCACTTTATCAACCTAATATGGTCATTGTGTTTCTCCACATTGTCATTGTCCTAATATTTCAGCTTTCTACCACTAAAGACAACCACTGAAACACTGCTTTTCCTAACGTTTTTAATTTTTTTTCCTGTTAAAGAGAGTTTTTCCATATTTGAATTCAGGGTCTGTGGGTCATAAATTATTTTATGTTGTACAGAAGACAACTATAGATAATACAAACTTGACCCAACTCCACTGTTTACATTAATAGAGCCATGATTTAAAATCTCACAAAGTGAAAATACTCAAAATATATGCAACAAAAATGTATTTATATTCTTTATTTTATTACTTTATTACTTCTTACTTTTCACTCCTTTACTTTTAAACACATATTTGCTTCATTTAATAGATTGAAACATAACAATGTCACAACAAAACAAGAATAAACTAGATAACCTTTCACTGATTGAAAATAAAAGTGTGCATCCATTGTCATTAGACAGGCCAAAATCTAGCCAAACTTTTGTGAAACTTGCATAACAAATTTATTATATTCCAAATATTTTCTCTTGTTATTCAAACTGGACAAATTTATTGGATGATCAACACTTCCCAAGAGAACTTAAAAGCACACTTTTACAAATGATCAGTATTTTGGACATGTTGAGGCCATACATTAAAGGGTTGAAGAGTGGTTGGCATGTAAGAAAATACAATGATAAAAATATTCGCAACATATTGGGTACACTGCTCATGTCAAACCTGTTCTGCAGTACTTCAAAGGAAACCCCAAAAGAAAAGTTAAGAAGGGAAGCAAGGTGAGGTGTGCAGGTACTGATGGCTTTTTGTCTGGTCTGTTGTGAACCAGAAAAACAAACTTTAAGGATCTTTAAGTACGTGTAAAAAATAACAGATACTGGAACACAGATTGTGAGAGAAGCAGCAGTGAGTTCATATACATTATTTATTCTGGTGTCAAAGCAAGCCAGTTTTATGACAGAATAGTTGTCACAGTATACTTTACTAATAATGTTCCCACACAACTGTAAAGAGGCGCTCAGGGATGTTGTGACAAAAACAGCAAGAAAAGGAGGTAACCATATAACAGCAATAAGCATGGCAATCTTACTAGAAGTCATATATGCATTATATTGTAAAGGATAACAGATAGCAAGATATCTGTCATAAGACATCGCAGCTAAGTTAGTAAATTCTACACTTACATAAGAGTACACACAGAAAATCTGCAGGAAACAAAGGGGAACAGAAACAGTGTGAATGTCAGAGAGAATCTGAACCAGAAGCATTGGAAACAACCCTGTACTACCATACAGTTCATTTACAAACAGGCTGCACAGAAATATGTACATAGGTTCATGTAAGCTTCTGTTCATACAGATAATCACAATGAGCAAAACATTGGCACAAAGAGTTAAAATATAAAAATGTGCAATAATCATGAAAAATAAGTATTTAAACAACTCAGTGTCAAAGTAGGCACCAAGTGTGAAATATGAAACCTGTGTAGAGTTTATCACAATCATCCTTTCGGTTCAAAACACAGTAACACTGTGCACAGGAAAAACTCAGTGTGATACCAATGTTATATTTTGTTCCAGATTTTTAAGTGTGCAAACAGTTTATATTTTAACATTGATCCCAGAGTGCAGCTAAAGCATCAGCACACAGTCTACAGTCCATAAATTAGTAAAAAATCATTCGTGACGAACTTCTCAAACTTACCACTGTCTGATTTAAAGTCAATGTAATGTTAGGTGAGAAACTACAAAGACAGTTTATGACATTGTGTGGATGATTCCCTCCCAAATGAACTCTAACTGTGCTTCTGCTTCTTTTATACTTCCAGGGCAGGGGACAACCACAGACTTAAGTCATTATCAAAGGAACGACTGTCACCGATTATCTAATTGATGCTAGGAAAAGACAAGAACATTTCAGACAAAATATTTGTTGCTATTTTAAAAATTGTTCAGTAAAAACATATATAAAGAAATAGGAAAAGATTGATTGTGGAGGAACATGTCACCACTTTGTGGATGTTACGTAATTATAGAATAATCGACCATATATAATTTTACTCAAAATGAGATGCTTAAGTTTCTAAGAAACCTGGTGGAAACTATCTAAAAGGGAAAAGGAAATAAGTAATTCTTCGACCACTGTATACATATATTGTATATACATATATATATATATATACATATATATATATATATGTATATATATATATATATATATATATATATATGTATATACAATATATATATATATATATATACACACACACACACACACACATAATTTTCACTGATTTAAATGAACTTTCATCATGATTGTCACTTCCCATGACTTCCTGTTATCGTAACATGATACCCATGATGACATGGTGACCAGTGGTTCAACAAAATGCCATGTCGCTCTTTGTGTGCTCTGCCCTCTACTATCTGCTCCCCTGGTCCACATCGGGCCATGGCTCTCTATAAACCCCAGTGCAGTCCGCCTGCAGCAGACCCACTGACAACAAGAATTACCGCCGCCTGCAACACGCAAGTCAGCCTTTGTCTTAAAGATTCCTGGTTAGCACACTGCTAACAAGTGGAAACAACTTTGTTATATTTAGTAACAAATAACTGTTATATTGTTATATTAGTTATTTGTATTATATTTGGTAATTGATCATTTAGTCAGCTAAGTTTAATTGACTGCACCTACGCAGTTTGGTGCCCCTTTAAACCATTTTAATCCCCAACAACAAATTAGAAGGGGAGGGGGTAGCGATTTATGTAACATCCTGTTTCTCCGTCACAGTACTTTATGCTGCTACTTTACCAAATCAGATCTTAGCTCTGAAAATGAATATAGGATCTATTATTAATAGATTAGCTCAGTTAATTTCTCAGTTCTGTAACTCAGTGTTGATCATCTTGGGTGAACTTAATTTTAATTGGCTGACTACTTGGCCCCCAGATAGCTCACCTGGTAGAGCTGGCACCCCATTTGCTGCAATGGCCATGGGTTTGAATCCAACCTGTCTACAGCTGTCCTATCTAAGAAAGGGAAAAAAAGCCCCCCAAAAATATTTGGCTGACAACTGTGTCTGATCAACAGAAGAACGTGTGCAATAACCTTAGTTTCACAGTTAGTTATTGATCTGACAGGTGCAAACTGATCCTATTGTTGAAGTACTGCAGGCTCTCAATAACTGGAAAGTCAGTTGGTAAGGATAATTTGGATCCTTTATTATCTGCATCTCTCATCCCTTGCCTCCCTGTCTGGACAATCACACATTGTCTCGATGTTAATCGACACAGGCGCTGATGCCAGTTAGTTTTCTGGACTTTGGCTGGTAGGAATATTGCATTCCTAATTTCTAGTATTGGTGGAAGTTTACCTTTTAAAGATTTTTTTATAGTTTCTTAATTAAATGAACTAAGAATAATGCTGACTATTTTATTTACACTATTTAATCCAGTTGTTTATTTACTTCATACACATGATCTCATACATCTGGATGCACAGGAAGATATAAATATCATATTGTTATGCTTTTCCTTCATGCTGTGAAGAAGGCACACTGTTGCTGAACTTCAGCTCATGGAATAAAGTCTACAACACCCCTGCTTTCTTTTTAAGTTATTATACTTGTATCCTGAATCGTGCCCCTTGACCTGAAATGCACTGCATAGCTAATTTGTACAGAATAGAGATAACAAGAACTATACTTCTGGATTAAGGAGTTACACCATACCTCTGGAAGCCACATACAGATTCACTAAAATGGTAAAATACTTTGTCTATTAAGGTAGTGACATGTTCGGTATCATGAGGTAACAATATCAGTATCAACATTCTCCTGAGCTTAATCATCTCAGACAAAGTTTCCACACACACATATCAAACTAGAGACATTATTTGCGTTGACACTGTTGCAGTTAGGAGAGTGATTTATTTATTGTTTTTTTTATGTATGTAAAACTAATCTATGTGATGACCTACACTTCACCACACAACAAACGTTTACATATGTTGCGGATTTTGGACATTTTCAGTCCATATAGTACTGGGGTAAAGAGAGGCTGGCATGTGAGAAAGTACAATGATAATAAAATGCGCAACATATTGGGTACACTGCTCATATCAAATCTGCTCTGTAATATTTGAAAACAACAACCAAAAGAAAAGTTAAGCAGAGAAGCAAGGTGAGGTGTGCAAGTACTGACAGCTTTTTGTCTAGTCTGTTTGGAACCAGAAAAACAAACCTTGAGAATCTTCATGTAAGTGTAAAGAATTAAAATTAGGGGAATGATGATTGAGATAACAGTGTAAATGAGTCCATAAATGTTATGAAGTCTGGTGTCAGAACATGCCAGTTTAACAACAGAGTAGTTTCCACAGTAAACTTTGTCAATGATGTTCCCACACAGCTGTAAAGGTGCACTCAAAGATACCAAAATAACAATAGTAAGAAAAGGGAATAACCATGTTACACCAATAAGGATGGCAACCTTTGCAGATGTCATACGTGTGTTATATTGTAGAGGATAACAGATAGCAAGATATCTGTCATAAGACATGATGGCTAAATTTAAAAATTCTACACACACATAAGAGTACACACAGAAAATCTGAAGGAAACAAAATGAAGCAGAAACAGTGTGAATGTCAGAGAGAATCTGAACCAGAAGCATTGGAAACAACCCTGTACTACCATACAGTTCATTTACAAACAGGCTGCACAGAAATATGTACATAGGTTCATGTAAGCTTCTGTTCATACAGATAATCACAATGAGCAAAAGATTGGCACTGATAATTAATATATACAAAGACATAATGATCACAAAATATAAATATTTGAAAACCCCAGTGTCAAAGTAGGCACTTAGTGTGAAATATGAAACCTGTGTAGCGTTTATCATCATCATCCTCCTAGTTCATAAAACAATCACAACACTTGTTCTTGTATGAAGCAACCACGGACCATGTGCAGCTGAGGCATCAAACACCCAGAATTCGGACAACAGGAAAGAAATTCAATATCAAGAAAATGACTTTGAAATATGAAACAAATTTACCATTCCCCAGTTGTTCTGTATAATGCTCAGGTAAGACATTGTCTGAACATTCACCTGTCAGACTGAATCCCTCCAAACAAGCTGAAACTGTGCTTCTGCTTCTTATAGCCTTTTCAAGAGTTGGAATGCCCACAACAGCATACTGACAACCAATAGGTCTTTGATAATGATGTCATAACACTGCATTATGCAATAACTGGAGAGTACATTTTCACTTCATTATGTAATAATCTGCCACATTGTGTAATGAAGAGCCTGAACCCAATATGTAATACATTTCACACATTTTGTAATAAATTATTACATATTGTGGTGGCTGTTACAAAATGTGTGTTATTATAATATGTGCTGTTGCCTGAACAAAGAGCAACTGCTTATTGGTTCGGATTCCATCCCTAGGAAACACCTACAGAAACTAAACTAAAATACTTCAGGGATCAGGGTTCAACTCAAAATGACTTTATTAGGTATTTGCATTTCTTTATTTCTTTTAAAGACCTGCTCAGAGGATGTTAGAGATACTCAGACAAAGGTATGAATGGTGAGACTGTCTGGAGGAAGCATAGCACCAGACAGCAGAAGCCCACAGTTCACCACCAACAGGTTCATGTGTCCAATAAATTTTCCCTACTCAGCGACACACCCACTGAGAAACCAACTCTGGTTATTGGCAGCTCAATAGTTAGGAACGTGAATTTAGCGAAGCCAGTGGCCACAGTTAAATGTATCCCTGGGGCCAGAGCGGGCGACATCCAATCATATTTAAAACTGCTGGCTAAAAATAAACGTAAATATAGTAACATAGTTATTCAGGTTGGCGGTAATGACACCTGATTACGCCAATCGGAGGTCACTAAGATTAATGTGGAGTCGGTGTGCAGATATACTAAAACAATGTCGGACTCCGTAGTTTTCTCTGGACCCCTGCCCAATGTGACCAGTGATGACATGTATAGCCACATGTCGTCATTCCACCGCTGGCTATGTCCAGCAAACGATGTGGGCTTCATTGATAACTGGCAGCCTTTTTCTTCTTCTTCTTCTTCTTCTTCTTTCTGTCCTTGCTCTCAACGAAGGCGGACGCATCTCTCTCTCCCTCCCGTCTCCCTTATCTTTCCTGCTTTGCTTCTCAAGTCTCGTCCTGTCTTGTCTCTAACTTTTAGGAGCCCCTCCCCGCATTGCTCTCCACATTTAAATCATGGAATTAGTCAACTGGTCTCTCAACGCAATTGACAGAATTTTCTCGACGAGAAGCTCGGGTTCGGGGGAACCTGCCTGCCCTGAAGGAACGTTTGCCGCTGGTTACACGATGGACTCCTGGGAGAAGTGGAGGGTCGTGTGCCTGGCGATTCTTTCCGTAGAGGACATCGAGGATCTCTACATATTCGGAACCATGATATCAGGCTATCTGCTGATTGGATTAGGCATTGCCCTGGTGTATCGGAAAATTCGGAAGACGGTGTCAGCAGTCCAAAGCAGTGTCAGCAGTCCAAAGCCCCATGAAGCTGCCTGACATGAGCAGAGCTGTTAACGCTCAGACTGTGGGTATAAACCGCAACATGGAAAACACCTTGGAAAGAGCTGTCAGTGCACTGACGGTGGTTATACACCGCAACATGGAAAACATCTTGGATAGAGCTGTAAATGCTCAGACTGTGGTCATTAACCGCAACATGGACTACTCGCCCTAACCCAAACAATCATAATCTAATCTGCATTCCGGCCCTCAGTAGCACCGGCCTTGGCCAAGGCCGCTGCTGGAACAACTCCTCCAGGAGATCGCTGCAGTGAGACGCTCTGCCCTATTCCTCCCTCCCTTCCCTCACAGACAACTGTTGATAGTTGACTCTGTTTAGGACCCGATAAGGCTGCGCCGATGCTGACTGCGCCGCGGCTGCCTGTCTGCGCTGGTACGCCTCCACCCCCCTTTCCCACCTCCCTTGTTGCAAGTTGTTTTGAGTTTTTATGTTGTAAAGTGTGATGTGCTTATGTTGCTGAGGTTTTTTTTCCCAGTCCCACACTGTACTCCCCTACAGGAGCAGAGTCTGGGAGCAGCTTTTTTTTCTCCTACCCTCTCCTCTTGTTTTTCTCTCCCTTTTCCTCCCCCCCTACAAGTAATTTCCCCACGGGGATTATTAAAGTATTTCTGATTCTGATTCTGATTCTGATTTTTGGGGAAAACCTGGTCTGATTAGGAGAGACGGCATCCATCCCACTTTGGATGGAGCAGCTCTCTTATCTAGAAATATGGCGAAGTTTATCTCTAAAACCTGACCTGTCCAGAGTTAGGACCAGGAAGCAGAGCTGCTGTCTTACACACTTCTCTGCGCTTCCATTACTACAGTCACCCACCCAAAACCCCATAGAGACTGTGTCTGTCCCCCGACCACCTAAATTATTTAAAGAAATAAAAACAGTTCAACATAAAAATCTAATAAAATTAAAACTAACTCCTCAGTAGCACAAAATAAGAGAATTAAATGTGGACTGTTAAATATCAGGTCTCTGTCCTCTAAAGCTGTTTTAGTGAATGAATTAATATCAGATTATGATATTGATTTACTTTGTCTTACTGAGACCTGGTTGTCCCACGAGGAGTATGTTTGCCTAAATGAATCCTCCTCACCTATAAAGCTCTTCATGGTCAGGCCCCTTCATATCTTAAAGAGCTCATAGTACCCTATTACCCCTCTAGAACACTACGTTCTCTGAATGCTGGGCTACTTGTGGTTCCTATAGTCTCTAAAAGTAGAACAGGAGCCAGAGCCTTCAGTTACCAAGCTCCTCTCCTGTGGAACCAGCTTCCAGTTGTGGTTCGGGAGGCAGACACCCTCACCACATTCAAGAGTAGGCTTAAGACATTCCTCTTTGATAAAGCTTATAGTTAGGGCTGGATCAGGTGAGTCCTGAACCATCCCTTAGTTATGCTGCTATAGGCCTAGACTATCGGGGGATTTCCCATGGTGCACTGAGCTACTCTCTTCCTCTCTCTTTCTGCACTCATTCATGTCCCATTAATGCATGTTACTAACTTCACTTCTTCCCCGGAGTTCTTGTGCTTTCTCGTCTCGCAGGTTCTCATGGATCCTGGTGGAGCCTCCTGCCATGGTCCTGCTTGACTGCCATTGCCAATATCACTGATATTATTGTTATTATTATTATTAATATTATTATTACTACAGTTACTATTATTACTACTGTCACTGCTCATTGTCCCCATCGTTGTTGTCGTTGTCATCATCATCTTTTTCATTTTCATCATCATCAGTCACTCGTATTAGTGTAGTTGTTGCCACTGTTGTTGCTGTGCACCTTTGTGTCTCTCTCTCTCTCTCTCTCTCTATATATATATATATATATATATATATATCTCACCCACCCACCTAGAGCCGAAGGGTCTGTCCGAGGATCTGCCTCTTAAAGAAGAAGTGTTTCCTTGCCACTGTCTCCAAGGTCTTGCTCATGGTGGGAACTGCTGGGTCTCTGTAAATAATGTTATAACGAGTTCAGTCTAGACCTGCTCTATTTGAAAAGTGTCCTGAGATAACTTCTGTTATGAATTGGTGCTTTACAAATAAAATTTAATTGAATTGAATTCTATTTCCTCACAATCACGAAAAAAAAGGAAAGTTCAGGACAATTTTTGATCTGAGTGGGCACACGTTTCTGAGACCCCTGTGATCCACAGTGTTGTCTGTGTTGTCCATCAACACCTTTTATAGCTTCGACCTCCTCTAAAAGTTCCTACCAGGGTTAATCATAGAGGTCATGCACACATGGTCCTTTTTGTGTGTGTGTGTGTGTGTGTTTTTTAGAGCTTTTTTTGAGGATGCTAGAGAGGGGACGCTATGCAGCAAAGGGCGGTGGGAATTGAACCCAGGTTGCTGCAGTTAGGCCTTAGTACGTGGGGCACACAGGAGGTCCTGGAAAAACCCTGAACTGGCACCTTAATGGGCACCTCCTTCTCACCAACTCAAGCCCTTTTTAATGATGATCCTGCAATACTGCTGTAAAGAAAATCCATCATTACACTGGATCTGCTTATTTACACTGAATCAAATATGAGCATGAAGCCAGCTCGCCTCAGACCTATACCTTCAAGGCCTTTTTTTTCTGTTTAGGGTATGCGCCACCTATAGACTTGCTGCTGGCCAGCATTTTGTATAGCAACGTCCTTTCAGTGCAACATACAACAACCGTTTCTATGACAATTACAACAAGATGAAGGACATCCAACTGTTCTAAGAAGTATGAAAAAGTTCCTCCAGTCTGAAAAAGCACCAAGAACTGGTGTGAGTAGGAGTGGGTTGTATAAGTACTGCACTGTTTACACTAATGTCTACTGTGTATGTTATATTTTCTGTCTAAACACTAAAAAAGAGATTTGGGGAAATAAATATTTGAATAAGCTCAAACTAGGACAAACATTTGAGTCACAATATGTAGCTAGACCTGCAAGCGGGTATTGACAGGGTCTAAGCCTCCGGTGCAAGCCACAACCAGCATCTGTGGAGGCTGCAAAAGCCAAACCTGCAGGCCCAAACATTAGTTCGGACACTCAATTTTAGAATATTTGACTATTCTGCCACAAAAGTGCCCCCTAGTGGCCAACTTGTGCCTCAGAGAAGCATGTGGAACTACTGAACCAAGAGTTGTGTTAATCAGACAAACCTATGTGAAGATATTAAATCACTTCGTGTTTTGAGTCCAACATAGAGGAAGTTGTTAAACCTTTTGGATTATCAAAATTCTTCACACAACTTTTGATCAGGATGGTCAATAGATCATACATGCAAAGTTTTGTGCAGATAGGAGTTTGAAAAGGGTTTTTCATTTTCTGTGGTTTTGGTTTTTTTTTTATTTATTATTGGTGGAAATGGTGTGGCCTATATAACAAGATGCAGTACAAGTCAGGGACATGTGAATGCAAGGTTTTTGAATGTGCAATGTACTGTTTGGGAGTTAAGGGGGTTTATGACACTGACGCATTGTACAAAGTATCAGCTACTCAAATTTATTTACAAAAATATGTATAATCAAATCCAAAGAGCAACAAATGTCACCCTCCAATGTCCCTCCAAGATATAATAGAAATAAAACACCTAAGTTCGTGTGAGGATGCCACAAAGGTTTTGCAATAAGATAAAAATTTTCATCTTATTGCAAAACCTATGTTATGTTATGAATCAATAATTTGTTTCTGTTTTGAGTTGCTGAGGCTGTAGCAAATCTCTAGACTAACAGTAAGTTGAGGCCTTCACACATTCATCATGAATCTCTGTTTAGTAACTTAAACAGAATGATTCTAAACAAATTGTTTTAGTTTAAATAACTTTAAAAAGGTATTCTGATAAGATAGCCTTAATATACATTTCATAGAATGTGTTGACATTACCTTTACATATACTGTATTTTTTAATGTTTTCAATTGTTATTTGGGTTGAGAAATATCAATGCAATGTATGGTTTACATTGTATGATTAATGATTTATTTGCAGTTCATTTTTCAATAAGTAACATTTCATGTATTTGTTATTTCTTTCTTTTATACATCTCTGTGGAAATGCATTTCATAACACATGATAAGAAAATCTGCAATTTGAAATTGTTATGGGAAACAAAATCTAATCACAGCAGTTGTGCAGCTGAATTTGAAGTGTCATATTTTAGGCCTTAAACAACCACAGACGCATTTTCAATGTCTGGGAAACCCTGAAATCAGAAATCAGTCTACATTTCAGCAAAAACAAGACTTTTACATATAATCCGGATTTTGGACATATTTATACCATACAGTAAAGGATTGAAAACTGGCTGGCATGTAAGCCAATATAATGACAAGAAAATTCTTAAAATATTTGGTAGATTGCTCATATTAAACCTGCTCTGTAATATTTCAAAGCAAGCCCCAAAAGAAAAATTAAGCAGAGAAGCAAGGTGAGGTGTGCATGTACTGACCGCTTTCTGTCTGGTCTGTTTAGAACCAGAAAAACAAATTTTAAGAATCTTTATGTAAGTGTAAAAAATTAGAATTAGAGGGCAAAAGATTGAGACTGAAGTGATAAACAGTCCATAGATATTATTGATTGTGGTATCAGAACATGCCAATTTTACAATAGAGTAATTGTCACAGTACACCTTCTCAATAATGTTCCCACACAGATGTAAAGAGTTACTCAAGGATGTCATTACAATACACAGCAGTAAAGGGCAAACCCATGTTAGAGCAATAAGCATGGCAATTTTGTTAGATGTCATCTGGGTGTTATATTGCAAAGGGCAACAGATAGCAAGGTATCTGTCATAAGACATGACAGTTAAGTTTAAATATTCCACTCCTCCATAACAGAATAAAACCATATTCTGCAGGAAACAAAAGGGAGCAGAAACAGTGTGAATGTCAGAGAGAATCTGAACCAGAAGCATTGGAAACAACCCTGTACTACCATACAGTTCATTTACAAACAGGCTGCACAGAAATATGTACATAGGTTCATGTAAGCTTCTGTTCATACAGATAATCACAATGAGCAAAAGATTGGCACAAACAATTAAAATATATAAAGATATGACTATCATAAAAAATAAGTATTTAAGAATCCCAGTATCAAAGTAGGCAGCAAGTGTGAAATATGAAGCCTGTGTAGAGTTTACCATGATCCTCCTTTTGCTTCTTAAAGCAGTCATAACACTGTTCATAGATGAATTAATTCCACCAAGTTTTACATTTTGTTTTAGTTAAACTTTAAGCTTTTGTTTGGTACTATGTGCAGCTAATGTATTAAATACACTAATAGTATTCAGTCTAAACACAGTAAGGAAAATCATTATCAAGAAACCAATTGAGAGAAATGTTCCAAACTCACCATACCCTTATTAAAAGTCTATATAACATAAGACAGTACAGCCCACAGTTTGTGACGTTGTATGAATCTGTTGACCTGCTGGAGTCAGACTGTGTATGAAACTCTGCTTGTGCTTCTTTTAACTTGATGACCCTGAATTAGACTTACAAGTGTATCCTTTGATATTGCTTACCGTTTGTTTGTAATTGGTTATCATAATTTAAAGGCGTGGCCTGATGCACTTCATGGTCCATAAGTCTCCAATGCAAAAATGTTGTACATACACAAGTGTATCGCATTTGATTCAATTCGACAAACAGGGGGCGCCACAGTAACAATAACATGTTACATCTACATATCTGTTGTTTTGAATAAGATGAAACCTGGTACACAGCTTTTCCATAAGCATGTACACAACATATTGAAGCATGGCACCAATAGCTCCACCTTGTTGGCATTAATAAGAACACACCGTATTTCTCGAATGCATTATTCTATTACCACCAATCTCTCTTGGAGGTATGTTCAGACATGAATGACATTTGACATTTCTAGCTGGGACACTTTCAGAAGCTTGGCCACTGAAGCACATGCATGAAGCTCACAGATGTGACACGTGCCATATGTAAGATTCTGAAACATTTCATTTATTATTTTGATGTATTAATCATTTGATATAAAAATACTATTTCTGGTCAACCATTCAACGACTGGGACAGCATCAACATGAATCCCTTGTGCATCTGAAGTTCGACGATCTCCCTCCCAGCACCATGGCATGACCATCCCTATTATCTGAGTACACCATTCAGTCCCACTTTCACATGGGCACAAACTACAGTCAGAACTTATACTGGAAGGTTGGGCTCAGAAAATAAAATGTGGTAACTATGCTATTACAAATCTTTTGGGTTCAAGAGATTCTGCTGAATTTGGAATGCAAGATGGAGGAAGAATTTTTTCATCCTCCAAATTGACAATAAATAACTGGCAGGTCAGGGTGTACATTGTGTGCAGTATGCAACTGTGTGATCACTGATCATTAACTTATTCCCTGATGAGGGTTAGAACACCACAGCTCTTTATGTCATGAATTCAGTTCACTATTAACTTAATAATGATGTTCAGGCCTGGTACAACAACACAGCCAAATGCTTGCTGATGTAATTGTGCTTGCTCAGGGAATTGTAGGTAGTGTTATATGGAGTACAGTCTAGACCTGGTCTATATGATTTGGTGCTACATTCATTGCATTGTTAGACCTGGACCAGTCTAGCCCTCAGCATTTGTATTTATGTGTCTAAAAACTATGGCTACATTCACACTGCAGGCAAAAGTTTTGCTTAAATGTGACTCAGATCTGTTTTGTTATGACAGTGTGAACAGCACAAACCACATCTGATCTCTATAATTCTTATGTGGCCCACTTTCATATGTGGTCCACATCAGATACAGGTGTGATTTCTTGCAATGTGACCTCATTCATGTGACTTTTAGATGGACATTCATAATGGGGGTGTAGACCATGACCTGTTCACACTGGAATATGATATGGGCCACATTTTAAAGCCAAACAAACAAAATCCAATCAGGGCAATAAATATTAATTGAGCACTAAAGCCTGCAGTGTGAATGTAGCCCATAATATCTTACTCCTTCAACAATGATCTCACATGAACAAAACTAATTCAATTCAGTTCAATTCAATTTTATTTGTATAGCGCCAATTCATAACAGAAGTTATCTCAGGACACTTTTCAAATAGAGCAGGTCTAGACCGAACTCTTTATAACATATACATATACTAATATCAATACACTCAGTGAGTGATTTGATAATGAGGTCAGACTGCTGTTGTGGGCGTCCCCTTGAATTGAAAGGGTTAAAAGAAGCAGAATCAGTGTCCCAGCTCAGTTGGTGGGTCGCAGTGTGGCTTCAACGGGTGAGCAGATCAATGTTAGGATTCATCACAACTTTGACTTTAACTAAGGAAGTTTGAAGTATTTGTGACATTTGTTTTCAATCAGTTGAATCTGACTGGTGTTCATACACTGAGGTGTGTTTATATATTATTGATGTTTTCTTTCACATCAGAAATGTAAACTTGTTAAACTTTCACACAGTTGTGAGAAAATGTTGGATACAGTAGTTACTGTGATATGTAAATCCACTGAACAGTGTTGATAATTGCTTTAAGAACCAAAAGGAGGATGATGTTAAATGCCACAAAGGTTTCATATTTCACACTTGGTGCCTACTTTGACACTGGAACCTTTAAATACTTATATTTCTTGATTGTTCTTACTTTTTATATTTTAATTGTTTGTGCCAATCTTTTGCTCATTGTGATTATCTGTATGAACAGAAGCTTACATGAACCTATGTACATATTTCTGTGCAGCCTGTTTGTAAATGAACTGTATGGTAGTACAGGGTTGTTTCCAATGCTTCTGGTTCAGATTCTCTCTGACATTCACACTGTTTCTGCTTCATTTTGTTTCCTGCAGATTTACTGTTTGTACTCGTATGGAGGTGTAGAATTTTTGACCTTAGCCGTCATGTCTTATGACAGATATCTTGCTATCTGTTATCCTCTACAATATAACACACGTATGACATTTAACAAGATTGCTATCCTTACTGCTGTAATATGGTTCTACCCTTTTCTTATCAATACTCTCATAGTGGCTGGTTTGACTCTCCCTTTACAGCTGTGTGGGAACATCATTAACAAAGTGTACTGTGACAACTATTATGTTGTCAAATTGGCATGTTCTGACACAACAGTTAATAACATCTTTGGACTTTGTCACATGTTTACAGTAATCTTTGGTCTCATAATTCTAATTATTTACACTTACATAAGGATCCTTAAAGTTTGTTTTTCTGGTTCCAAACAGACCAGACAGAAAGCTGTCAGTACCTGCACACCTCACCTTGTTTCTCTGCTCAACTTTTCTTGTGGCTGTTTCTTTGAAATAGTGCAGAGCAGGTTTATTATAAACAATTTACCCAACATTTTGCGCATTTTTTTGTCTTTATACTGGCTGACATGCCAACCACTCTTTAACCCTTTATTGTATGGACTGAAAATGTCCAAAATACGCATTGCATATAAATGTTTACTCTTTGGAGAAAAAAATTAATACAAATGTCTTATATGTATGTTATATGTTAACAGATTTGCAACAGAATAAAAATAAATACATTAAATAAATGAGATATTTGTTTGATAATACTACTGTCTAGTGTAACTGTGTGTGAAGATACAAGAGAATAACAACAATCGCACAAATACTGCGCGATAAAACCAAACAATCAGTTTTATAAAAAACGAAAGAAGCAGCAAATAGCAAGAACAGGTGTGCCAGGACTCTCAAACTCACATTGTCTTTGGGCCACTCCATAGGAGGGATACGTTTAAGTACTACAAGAAAGGGCAATATTCTGAAAATATTTCCATCATACATAACAAAAAATGCAAACAGCAGTTTCTATACATTTTTATATCATATTTGTTGTTCGCAACCAAACAAATGAAAGCCCAAAATCTGCTCTCTTCTTAATCCTTTGCACACATTTGCAACTTTGACATTATTTTGCCTCAAACGAAGTACAGATTTGTGTTTTTTTATAATTGTATATGAAGGGAACTAGAAAAAAATAGAAAAATAAAATATCAATCCTCCAGGCTGGATTACATTATATTTTGATATCATGTCGCAGACTTTAGGGAGAGGAATGGAGGACTTAAAATGGCCCCAGGTCAGCAGTTTGTTATCACTGAGGTATGCTAAGAACAATAGGATATGTGAAAGATAGAATAGAGCAAAGGAAGGAATAATAACAATAAAATATGTATAGGATACAAGGAACAGTTAAACAGTTGATAATTAAAGTCAATTCACACTTCATTCACGTCATTTAAAAATGTTCACTGAGATTTTCTGTCATTTATGATGGAATGCTGTAATTTACCTGTTGTACTGTAAGGGGCACAGATCTTTCCAGGTCCAAAAACAAACAAAGATGAAGATCCGCCAGAAACGAGGAGGGGTTCAAATTTTTATGCATCACCAAAGATGCTGCAGAATCCCTGCATCTGAATCAGAAAAATTCAGATGCCCATGAAGTAGTTAATGATTGTGCAAGCCTTGGAGTTGTTGATGGACTACAACATGCTGGGAGATTTGAGGAAACGTTGACACTAAAATTTCTCATCCATATCGCAGATGTGTCAGGGGTAGACAGATAACCCGTGGACTTGGGAAAAGCAGAAACCAGCAAATAGATATTCAGATGTCAACCTGTGGATTGTGACAGTTATGATAGTTCAGACACAGAGTGGAGGCCTAGGTCTCGTTCTCTGTTCCCTTTGCCAGACGTGCCAGAGATAATGATAATTTAGATAGGGTTTTAATTCAGTTTGACTGTATGTTTCTTAGACTGTACAATAATTCAATGTTAACATATATATGTATATCACATTAAATATATACATATATGTATATATTTAATGTGATAAGTATCTGTTAAATGCATACAAATGTGAGAAGTTAAAATAGAAATAATTTATATCTCATTCTGTTCACATAACCAAACTTACAGTACCAATAAAGCTGATTCTGATTTTTGTGTGTACAGATTTGAATTCAAATTTGTGAATTTTGATTGACACAAATTGCTCAGGCTCACAAGTTTTTTAAAGTATCTTAATCAGCTCCAAGAGTTGTGTGTCACAGCCACTGCTGCAGCTCCAGCTGCTGACTGTGTTGGTGAGAGATTAAATCAACAGTCAAATTAAAATAAGTAACTTCCAGTTGTTTTTACATCACCTGCATGCACCTGTCCCTTTCAGGGAACTGAAGTAACTTTGTCACATAACACAGTCGGCACATCCTTGGTATAGCTGAGCCACTGGGCCAAACAATTTCACCTAAACGCATGTACACATGCTGATTCTGTGGCACTTGAAGCAAAAACCTATTGCTTGCTCCTTAAAATATAAATAATGCTAAGTTTGACATAATTAATCAATATGTAATTTCTGTCAATAGGTGGTCTCATAAAATCAATAAGAAAAGAGGAGTTCTGATGAGGTGGTGAAGCAGCATGGGATCATGGGAGTTGTTGTCTTCACCACCATTGGCGTCATTGCAGTCAGCTTCTCCCGGTTAGGATTCCTTCAGTGTTCATGGTTCAGGAGGTTTCTACCGGGAGCCCAATGATCCACAGAGGTCTCCTCCTCTCCAACACAAACAGACCCGCTGATTAAAACCACTAAACACACTGAATAAAGCAGTTCCACCTTAAACACACTGAATAAAGCAGTTCCACCTTAACAATCACTGCTTCTCCCACGCTGTTGGACAGACAAAGGACGTCCCGGAGGGGCTGCGAGCCGAGCTGCTGCTAACGTTAGCTCAGCTTGTTTCTCTGATAACTTAAGATCCAGACGTCCGATGACTAAAATCCTTCATCCGGTTCAAATCTAGAGTTAAAAAGCACCAAGATCTAAACAGTGGATGGTAACAATGTGGCTTCAGACTGGATCAACAGTCAATGTATGACAGCTTCTGGCAGACAACCACAACACTGACGCAGGCACAAAGGGGATATGACGCCATCGACAGGCGACGGTGAAACGCAGCGTTACCTGAATAAAATGACAGATTTTCTCTGTAAGTTCTTCTACTAGTTCAGGCAACTCGAGCTGCGCTGATTACACACATGACATGCCTTATTCCATAATCACTAACCAAGCGCTCCCCTCCAATCTGGCAGGCTATTTAAATTGCACAATTTCCCAGCACTCCCTCTGCTCTGTCAATGCCGCTGTTGCCCTGCATCCATATTGCTGCTGCTGCTGCTGCTGCCTGCTGCGCTGTAAGCTTTCTCAGTTATTGATTTATCTGACCATTATTGTAAATGCGACTGTCATCCTACCTTTCGGCTTTATTTTAACTTTGTTTATTTGTTGGTTCAGTCTTTTTGTTTGTTTTTTGAATTAATCACAATCCGTGAATAACCATGAGACAATGGCTGGACTAAGTTTTGCTACTTTTCTCCGAATTCTTCTGTTACTTTTTTTACTTTTGGTAACAGAGAACTCTGCCGGTAGTAGTGGGGACATTGTTTACACGCGTGAACAGCTGATTGCGCTGGGTAAGCCTGTGCTGCTGCCCGTAGACAGACCTGCGGTCCCGCAGGAGTTACGGAGGAGACCGTCAGGGTTGCAGGGCTGGAACCAAACGGAGGGAGAAAAGAAGAAGACACAAGCCAGCGGTCCCAGCGATTATAATGGGAAACGTGAGGTCTTTGGGGAATAAGATGGACAACTTTCAGCGCTGGTGAAGACCCAGAGGGAATACCACGAGTGTAGCTTATTTTGCTTCAGTGAAACTTGGCTGCACTCGCACACCCCGGACAGCAGCGTTGAGGTTCCCGGTTACAGTTTGGTACGTGGAGACAGAGACTGTTCCAAAAGTCGGAAGAAGAAGGGTGGCGGGCTTGCACTGTATGTGAGTGAGAGGTGGTGCAATCCTGGACATGTCAGTGTGAAGGAAAGTCTCTGTACCCCGGACATTGAAATGCTGGCTGTGGGAATGCGCCCGTATTATTTGCCTAGGGAGTTCACGTCCACCATTGTTATCGCTGTCTACATCCCCCCGTCAGCTGATGCAGTGGTGGCCTGTGAAGTCATCAGCTCCACCACCGCTAAACTGCAGACTGAACATCCGGATGCGTTCATGGTCATTACAGGTGATTTTAATAATGCCTCACTGAACAACACTTTAAATAACTTCCATCAATATGTTGACTGCCCAACCAGAGACAATAAAACATTGGATTTATTATATGCTAATGCCATGGACGCATTTGACGCCACAGCCCTCCCCCCCTTGGCAGGTCAGACCACAACCTGGTTATGATGACTCCCAAGTATGTCCCTCTTGTGAGAAGGCAGCCTTTGCACACCAGGACAGTGAGGAGGTGGACACAGGAGACCGCTGAGGCACTGCAGGACTGCTTCGAGTCGACAGACTGGGATGTACTCTGTGAGCCACATGGGGAGGACATCAATAAGATGACACTGCATTACAGATTATATTAAGGACACCACTATGCCACCCCAGACCGTTCACTGCTTCTCCAATAACAAGGCCTGGATTACCAGTGACCTGAAGGCACTCCTGAGCAAGAAGAAGAAGGCTTTCAGGTCGGGAGACAGAGAGGAGCAGAGGAGAGTGCAGCACGAACTCCGAGAGATGCTGAGGACGTGCAAGGACTACAGGAGAAAGCTGGAGGCCAAACTCCAACAGAACAGTGTAAGGGATGTGTGGGCGGGCATGAAGCACATCACAGGGATGAAGGGGAAAGACAGGCAGACATCTGGGAGCCTGGATAGAGCCAATCAGTAAAACCAGTTTTTCAACAGGTTTAGCTCACCTGCTGCTACCCCTCCGACAACCCCAGCCCCCCACACACTCACACTGTCCCAAATGGCTCGACCCTCCCCCCAGCATTCTCCTGTACAACACCTCTCCATCTGCCCCCCTTCCACCCCCCTCACCCCCTCCTCCTCCTCCACTGATGACATCATCTGCCCCCCCACCCCCTCGTCCTCCTCCACTGATGACATCTGCACCAACCCCCGCCCAACGGTGACTACAGGCCAGGTAAAGACTGCATCAGTGAAAGGCTGCAGGCCCTGATGGCATCTCACCCAGGATCCTGAAGACCTGTGCCAGCCAGCTGTCCCCTGTACTGGGACATCTGTACAACCTGAGCCTGAGTCAGGAGAAAGTCCCGTTGCTGTGGAAGACCTCCTGCTTGGTCCCAGTCCCCAAGAAGTCGAGGCCGCTTCACCCGCAAACGACTCATCTGCGGGCCCGTGCACCGCACCCTGGAAGAGCTGTATGCTCGCTACATCTCAGTTCCATTCGGCCTTAACCATGAAGAGCTCTTCAGTTACCTCTCGGCCCAGTCAAATTCTAACAGGTAATCTGTTTCTCGCTCAGCAATTAATAAAATAATACATTCATATGAACAAATACATATTGACAGGCTTAAGGAAGTAATAGAGAAATAGATGGGGAAGGAAATAAACAACAAATAAATAAAATAACAAATGAAAATGACGTTGTTGATGGTAGTGATGATGATGATGATGATTGCGATGTAATGGTCATTGTAATGGTGATTTAAGATAATAATTAT